ATCGGAGCGAGCCGGCCAGCATGAGCATCGAGCCGGATCCATCGGGCCGAGACGGGCCCTGCGAGGGCGGCGAGGAGAAGGAGGGGAAGAGGGAGGACGCGGCTGCGATGGCGAAGAGGGCGGGCGGGGCAGAGGAGGGGGGACCAGGGGAACGGCGAAAGGCCTGGGAGGAGGAGGACGTCAGAAGGTGAGACGAATCAGAGAATCAAGTGGAAGGGGTGAGGACGATTGGGCAGGGACCGACCGTCCCGGCATTCCTGTAGGCATACCACAGGATGTTCTTAGGGGAACCGAGAATGTGGTGAAACACAAAGACAACTTTCTTAGAACAGAAACCCGATGTGTTCAAACAGACAGTCTCAGCCAGAAACGTTCTGAGAACATCCGCGAATCACAGAAGATCATTAGACCATGATTTGGTGGGCCTATAGGCAAGCCAGGACGCTGCGCCACTGCTCGAGACTAGAGCGGAGGAGGGTAGAGGACCAACGCTTGCTGGGCCAAAACGTCGGCTGGTTGAGCTCGGCGTCTGCCACGTATGGTCTGGGAGTGCCGTGCTCACGGGCAACCACGCGCGAATACCACAATTGCAGGTCAGATTTCCAGAGCCACCAGTTGAGGCTCAAGAATTGTGAAGGAGCCCTGGGACACACAAATAAAAACACGCAAATGACAGGATTCACCATATCTTCCCATATCTTCTGGGTTCTTGTCTTCCCCCCCACTTCCCATAGTTTCCCATATTTTCTGGGAAATCGACGATTAATTGTGCCTGTGCGTGTTTTTTCCCCTCCTGACTGAAGCCAGGTGAAATTCTGCGGGGAGGCCCGACGCCCCTTCGCCGGCTGGACACGCAGCAGGTGCTCACAGAGCCACAGAACCCCCACCTGCGTTCGAGGCATCGGAGGTCTGACGATACTACTCTGAGGTCGAGCCTGTCCCCCTACAGTGGGATTTCGGGGGGGAACAAATACTCCAAACTTACCCCAGTGCGACCCTAGGAAAGCAGCATTAGTTGCTATGCTATGCTATGCTATGTCATGATATGCTGCGCGATGATATGCTATGCTATGCTATGCCGCGCTGTGTTATGCTAAGATATGCTAAGCTATGCTATGTCATGCTGCGCTGTGATATGCTAAGCTATGCTATGACATGATATGTTATGTTAAGCTGCGTTATGCTATGCTATGCGATGGTATGCTATGATATGATATGCTATTATAGTATATGATATGATATGCTATGCTTGGCTATGGTATGCTATGCTATGCTAATGCAGCGCTGCGCTATGTTAAGCTGAGCTATGCTAGGCTAAGCTAAGCTGAGCTGACCCTTTAGGCACGGAGTAGTTACGAAATGGTTACGGAAGGCACTGCTTGCGGGGGCTCCGGTCCGGCCATCGAAACTAGCTCGGCATCTGTCGCACATTGCTTTTGCTTTGCCTTTCCTTTGCTTTGCTTTTGCTGTTGCTTTGCTTTGCTTTGCGTTGCTTGTGCTTTGCTTTGCTGTCGCTGCTGTTGCCTTGCCTTTGCTTTGCTGTTATGCTATGCTATGCTATGATATGCTATGCTATGCTATGCTATGCTATGCTATGCTGCGCTGTGCTATGCTGTGCTGTGCTGTGCTGCGCTATGCTATGCTATGCTATGCTATGCTATGCTGCGCTATGCTGTGCTATGCTGGGCGATGCTATGATATGCTGTGCTGCGCTATGCTATGCTACGCTACGCTACGCTATGCTATGCTGTGGTCTGCTATGCTAAAGCTCAGCGAAGCTAAGATGAAGGTAAGCTAAGCTAAGATAAACCTGAGCCAAGATGAAGCTACACTAACCTAAGATGAAATCTGCTAAGCTAAGATGAGATAAGCAACGCTAAGCTAAGGGGACGTAACTCGGGGAACCGCGGGGCGGATACTGGGGGAACCGCCCGGGGCGCTTTCCACTGCCCGGCCCCTTTAAGCCCAGAGAGTAAGAACCCTTCTAGGCAGAGCCTAGGTATGGAAATACTCTGTAAATGGTCAAACGTAATCAAAAATTTCCCCAGTGCGACCCTACCTAGGAGTTGGAGCCCCTAGGAAAGCAGCATAAGTTGCTATGCTATGCTATGCTATGCTATGTCATGCTATGCTGCGCTATGCTATGCTATGCTATGCTAAGCTATGCTATACTATATGCTGCGCTATGCTATGCTATGCTATGCTGTGTCATGTTGCGCTGTGCGATGCTAAGCTATGCTATGCTATGCTGCGCTACGCTATGATATGCTATGCTATGCTATGCTAAGCTATGCTATGTCATGCTGCGCGATGCTAACCTATGCTCTGCTCTGCTATGCTATGATATGCTGCGCTGTGCTATGCTGTGCTGTGCTGTGCTGCGCTATGCTGCGTTATGTTATGCTATGCTATACTATGCGGCGCTATGCTATGCTATGCTGGGCTATGATTTGATATGATGTGCTGCGTTATGATATGCTACGCTATGCTATACTATGCTGTGCTCTGTTAGGCTAAAGCTCAGCGAAGCTAAGATGAAGGTAAGCTAAGTTAAGATAAACCTGAGCTCATATGAAGCTAAGCTAAGCTAAGATAAAATAAGCTAAGCTAAGATGAGATAAGCAACGCTAAACTAAGGGGACGTAACTGGGGGGACCGCGGGGCGGATACTGGGGGAACCGCCCGGGGCGGGGAGCACTGCCCGGTCCCTTCAAGCTCTAAAGTAAGAACCCTTCTAGGCAGAGCCTAGGTAGGGAATTGGTCCACTGACTATTTTTGACTATGTTTGAATACTCCTCCAAAACCTGCTTCCCCTTGAAGGAGGGAAACCCCCCCTCCTCTCCCTGCGTATTCGTCGGGCCCCAGGCGGAGGGGATAGAGCGCCCAAGATGGTCTAAGATGGCTCGAAGAGGGCCTCCAATGCTCCAATATGGCCTGCAAGACGGCTCAATATAGCCGAGGATTGTTCTGGATGGCCTCCATCATGCCTCCAAGAGGCCCCAAGAGACCCACAAGATGGTTCCAAGTGCTCCTGGAACCCTAAACCGACCACCACCCGAGAGGCCAAAACACATCAAACACCTTCGGAGAATCAAGGAAATTTGGCGTCTCGCCTGTTCGCTACCGATGGGCTTCTGACGCCTCACTATGGCCCGGAGATAACCCAAGAGAGCCCCAAAAGTGGCCCAAGGGGCCACAAGAAGACTCCCAGAGCGCCCCAAGAGGGCCCCCAAGAGCCCCAAAAGGTGCTAATGCTAACAAGCGTCGACCGAAATCGGGGATCCCTCCTCTTTTGATCGACGCCCGGCCCAAGAGGGCCCCCAGAGGGCCCCTGAAGGGCTCAAAAAAGCCCCAAGAGGACCCCAAGATCATGCAAATTAGCCCCAAGAGGGCCACATTGAAACCCCAAGAGGACCTCTAGAAGACCCCAAGGTGTCTGCTCTTCGTCCTCCTCGTTCGTCTTCATCCACTTTCTCCTTGCCCTCCTGCTCCTCTTCGTCATCGTCATCCTCCTCATCCTCCTTGTAGTCCTCCTCCTCCTCCTCCTTCTCCTCCTCCTCCTCCTCCTCCTCCTCCTCCTCCCCTTCCTCTCCCTCCTCCTACTCGAGTCTTACGTTTCCCAGAAGAAGGGCCAGCAGCGGAAGCGCGCGCGAGAGGGCAGCCCTTGCGGAGCGCGCTGGCATCTCCTCCGCCTCCTCCTCCTACTCTTCCCCCCTCTCTTCCTCCTCCTCCTCCTCCTCCTCCTCCTCCTCCACCTCCTCCTCCTCCTCATCCTCCTCATCCTCCTCATCCTCCTACTCCTCCTCCTCCTCCTCTTCCTACTCCTACTACTCCTCCTCCCCCGCCTCCAACTCCTCGTCTTCCTCTTCCTCCTCCTCCTACTCCTCCTCCTCCTCCTCCTCCTCCTCCTCCTCCTTCTCCCTTTCCTCTCCCTCCTCCTACTCGAGTCTTACGCTTTCCCGAAGAAGGGCCAGCAGCGGGAGCTCGCGCGCGAGGGCAGCCCTCGCGACACGCGCTGGCATGGGCCGCGGTGCCGGCGCAGGCCCAGTGACCACTGCTCGCTCGCTCGTTCGTGCCGTAGGGGCTGTGGCAGCCAATGGCAAGAGGAAGCCAGGACGAGGTTCAAAACGGGAGAGTGTACATCGAGGGTCTCCTCCTCTCCTCCGCCTCCTCCTCCTCCTCTTCCTCCTCTTCTTCTTCTTCTTATTACTAGTATTATTATCCCTATTGGCCTTCGTATTATTAATCTTAGTAGAATCATTAGTGTTATGATTCGTCTTAGTATTGTTATCAATATTCGTACGATGTGTATTCTTATTAGTGTTATTAATATTGTTTTCTTAGTATTATTATGATTACTAGTAGTATGATTCGTCTTCTTATTAGTATTATGTTTAGCATGATTCGTCTTAGTAGTCTTATCATTCTTCTTAGCATTATGATTATTATTCATATGTTGATGATTATGATTCGACTTATTATAATGATTATTAGTATGCTTCTGCCGCTTCGTAGTATCATTGTTATTATTATGTTTATTATTATTATTATTATTATTATTATTATTATTATTATTCGCATTCATATTCTTATTATTAGTATTCCTCTTCTTCTTCCTCCTCCTCCACCTCCTCCCCCTCCTCCTCCTGCCCCTCCTCCCCCTCCTCCTCCTCCTCCTCCTCCTCCTCCTCCTCCTCCGCCTCCCTCCCTCCTCCCTCCTCCTCCTCCTCCTCCTCCTCCTCCTCCTCCTCCTCCTCTTCCTCTTCCTCCTAATCCTCCTCCTCCTCCTCCTCCTCCTCCTCCTCCTCCTCCTCCTCTCTCTTCCTCCTAATCCTCCTCCTCCTCCTCCTCCTCCTCCTCCTCCTCCTCCTCCTCCTCCTCCTCCTCCTCCTCCTACCCGTGAGGGTACATCGAGGGTATCGGAGACCTGGGCGGCTCTGGAGCGTGCATCGGTCGCCGCGGCCTTCTCGGAGCGTGCCCGAACGCTCTGAGCACGGCGC